GGGTGGCCACATCTGGCATCCGAGCACACAACGCCTGCAGCTATGGGTATGGCCCTTCAGGGCCTGACCCACTCCTTGGGTCATGTGACCAGGCAGTGATCCAAACCATTAGGGACTCTAGAGCACCTTCCACCAGGGCACTTTATGCCAACAGGTGGAAGATTTTTTCAGAGTGGTGTAGAGCTCATAAAGTAGGTCCTGAGAAGTCCTCTTTGCCGATTTAAAACTGCATTTTTTACAGTCTTTGCTAGAAAAAAGCTCCACCTTAGGGTATGTGGCTGCAATTTCCCCCAGTCATATTAGAGTGGATAAACCAGACTGTGGGGTCTCACACCCTTATCACCCGGTTCCTTAAAGGAGCCCAGCGATGAAACCCCCATGGGCTATCATGGTACCCTCATGAGACCTGCCTTTGGTGCTGGAATCCCTTTGTCTCCCTCCTTTTGAGCCTCTGGAGCAGGCAGAACTAAAGTGGTTGTCAGTGAAGGTTGCATTTCTTCTGGCAATGGCATCAGTGAAGCGAGTGAGTGAGCTTCATGCACATGGATGCCTTGTTGAAGCATCCATGTGCTGGAACTCTGATGGCACAGGATGGCACTTTGGCCTAACCCATCATTCCTCCCAAAGAGGTTGGCTCCAGCCCACTTTAATCAGGTCATTCAGCTAGCAGCCTATGACTCCTCATAGACACAGGTTGCTGAAGCCGATTCAGCAGAACTGCTCTGCCCAGTGAGGGCCTTGAGGCATTACAAGCAGGTGACTGCTGGCTTTTGCCACTCTGATAGCCTGTTTGTCTGCTGTGGGGACCATAGGAAGGGCATGCCCTGTCTAAACAAAGGCACTGCCTCTGGCGTTCATCCAGAATTCATAGAACTGTAGTTACATACGTAACTCTCGTTTTATCTTTGCAGAGGCAAATCTATTCTTTGACATGTTTTCTGAAAAAATGCACCCATGCAGATTATATACTTTTGCCCGATATTGTGAGTCAATCATACATTATGGCTCAGCAGGACTGCAGTCACATGTGTTTGACACATTCAAACCTACATACTTTCCTCATTTCCCGTCAATAAATGTGTGACCTGTCATCACGAGTCAGACTCTTTCATGATAAAGCTGAACATCAATTGTTCAACATGACTAGTGGGTTTTGAGTGAATGCATTCATAATATCTGCTGGTATAGTCTTTGATATCTGGCTAATTGTTCATACATTTCCAGACTGTACTGTCACAGGGAAAGTAAACTCAGAAAAGGTTAAGTGGTTTGTCTATTATATAGCTTCCAAAACCTGGAGAGTGTTAAAGCTATTTTATTGAGTGGGGGAAAAATGATAAATTTTCAAATGTCAAGTCTCACGTAGTGTAATTAATGTCTCAGAATTCATCATTACTAATGCATCATTTACTCCGTAAATTACATGAAAACACCACTGTTATTTGTTCAGATGTCTCAACACTAAATGCATGTTTTCCTCTCCACTTGGTTCAAAATGAAAATAACCACCTGCAATTAGTCTCATTGCTTGAAGAGGTGAGACAACAACAAATCTCTACAATTTAAGATTTTTATTTTCAATTTAACTTGCAATCACTAAAAAAATAAGTTTTATCTCATCTAAGACATCTGTAGCAACTCTGCTGTAACAGGACCCAAGAATTTCTGTTCAAGGTGAAGTATTTTATTGTCAGTGATATCACTCCTGAGGCAAAATGTTTCCTTCGAGGAGACCAACACTGTCAAAATTAAACCTCCAGTCTTCTTGTCAACAACACAAAACATTAGATCTGATGATGTCACTGTGGCTGTAAATGGTGTAATGGTTTGAATTTATAATTTATTGAATGGATCCAGGCGGAGTCAGTGCCTCATTCGGATATTAAGGTGACACCTTTTCTGTTGGTCTGTATTGACGTGGGGATTTGGGAAAAGTGGAGACATTTTATCAGAGAAAGAGTTTAACTGAACAACGCAGAACTGGACTTGGTTAAACTGTATAGTACAGACAGTATTTACCACACAGCGTTTCAGCATTACCCAACAATCTCGAGTTCAAATTTGCTTTGATTTTAAATTGCTTTTATGGTAATTTTATTCAATACATATTTAATTTAATATTGCAGAGTTTGAAAGGGCTCTTAGATGGGCAAATATTCAAAATATTCTGTATTTCTGGGATGCTGTCATCCATTGTTTGTCTA